AAAACAGCCTTTTTTACCGGTGTTAGTAGCTTCCTCGGGGATCGGTTTGGCAATCTATTTTTACTTCTTTCCAGCAATACAGCTCTATTCATCAATTCGTGCACTCCCCAAAGTGCTCGGCTCAATTGCCTAACAAATAAAGAAGGTCTTCTTAACTTCTTTATTTCCTTCCATGTTGTATACGGTATTGAGATACCGTATCTCAAATGCATCATTTTAATTTAAAAAAAGGAATTAAAATTTTTGTTATTTTAGAAAATTTAATAATTTAAATGATTATCGTTATTGAATTATAAATACAAGTTCAAAGTAGTTCTAATAATTTTTGAGTTATATTTAATAAGTAATATATTTCTTATATTTAAATTTTAAGTTTTTAAAACTAAAAAATGAGTCTTAAAAAATTGTTTTTTCTAAAACCTCGATGTACAAAAACAGAAGCTAGTAGATGTTATGAGGAAGTGCGCGACAAGGTAAAAATGTTGAGTCCATGAGTGCGGGAAATCCACACCGCTCCATTCTCGCGACAACACACTAGAAATGTCTTAAATTTAAACATTTTTACATTTAAACTTACAGTTGTTCCGTTTACTTCGTCGTCCCAAGCAGTCATATTTTCTTTATCCGTTAATCCATTATATTGATCGGAATCGTAATCCAAGTCACTTCCTTTATTCTTTTTTTTCCTTGATCTTTCTTAGATTTTTTAGTTTTCTATGCTTTTTTTGCTTTATTTTTTTTTCTTACTCTTTGTTTTATGAGTCTTATTGTTTTCTGCTTGCATACAAAAGTCATCTTCTTGCAATGGAGATTGCTCATACATTAGTTGAAAAGTAGTATATTCACTGGAAACAGTATCTTGTAAAGGAACAGTAACAGTTTCACTTCTCATTTTTTTTGGAGTACTGGTTATGGATGATGCCGGACGCTTTAGTTCTGTAAAAATACATTGTCAAACATTGATAAAAATTAAGTACATAAAAAACAATTTTTTTCGAAGTTAATGTTTTTTTTACCTCCAGGAAATAATTGTTTTTCTGTTTTCAATATATGAAGTTCCTCTTTAAAAACGAATATGTCACTTTTCAAATTGTTGTTCTCTAATTGTAGTTTTTTGTTTTCATCTTTTAAACATTGAATTTCGCTTTCTAGAACAAAATTTGGTCTAGAAGCTGGAATTTCAAATAGTTTTTCACGGGTTTTTTCAAATGCTATACTATCTATATTAAAGTTTCCAATTTCTCATTAATGATTATATCTTCATCGTCCATTTTGGATGTTTCCTTATCTACAGCAGATGGAATTTTCGAAAAGTTATGATTTCTTTCAAATATTATAGCGTTACGATTTAAAGTTTCCAATTTCTCATTAATAATTATATCTTCATTGTCCATTTTGCATGTTTTCTTATCTACAGTAGATGGAATTTTCAAAAATTTGTTATGATTTCTTTCAAATATTATAGCATCTCAATTTAAAGTTTCCAACTTCTCATTGATTATATTTTCATTGTCCTCTTCCAATGTCCTCTCATTATTGAACTCCTTGAAAATTCATGATTTTTAAAAAACTTTGAGCATCATAAAACTTGTTTCCGCATTAATAATTTTTCAATTGAAAAATAAGCATTTTTAAAACTAAATAATATTTATAATTAAAATAGAAAAAAAATGTTACTTTTAAAGATTGCATGAACATGCAAATTCACATTAATTAATTTCAGTTTATATTTATTTGAAATAAAACTTATATTTTTACACGGAGACAATCTTTAGCTAATATTGCTCAACTGTTAAGTAAAATCTGCTTAAAATGTCGAGGCAACACTAGTTAAGTCAAATTTATTTAACAGGATCTTGTTTTGTATAGATCTGTAACAAATTGTCAATCTTATAGAACTATATCTTACCGTTTCTTTTTTAGTTTTATTAGGCTCTGCATTTTCTTTATCTAATATTTTTTGTACGGCATCACTGTAGCGCAGTTTTTTAAAGACATAGCGTTGTTTGTTATGTTTCAAGTCTTCTTCATTAGCTGTAAAGAATGAAATGCTAGTAAAAACCTAATAAAATTACGTTATTTACTGAAAACAAGAAACACTTACTAAGTATATTTAGTAAAAAATTAGAATGGATAATAAAATGATTGTGATAAAAGAAAATAATATCAAAGTTACAAAAAAATAAATGACAAAATCTTTTTAACATTACAAATAGATAATAGCATGCTAAAAACTAGAATGGAATATAATAAACAAAATAAAAAAGATAAAAAAAATAATCAGTTTTCAAAAAAAGTAGAAAGAAGAGAATCGCAAAAGATTTTAAGGAAAAAAGAAAAGTGTGAACTTTATAATTTACTTAAAATTAAAATTTACTACGACAATGAATTTTGTACATACTTCCTAATTCCATAATTTGAGCTGCAATCAAACTTTCTTCCATAGTTTCAGTGTTCAGCCTTTTTACAAAATATGGTTCCTTATATTTATCCAAAACCACAAAATTCTTTATTTTTTCAATAGGAACAATGTGGATTTTCTTGCTCTCATCATCGAAATAACGCACACTAGCAAACTTAATGTGTGAATCCATGGTCACTTCAAAAATTTGTTTATGTTACATTTTCAAAACTTGAAAAACATTTTTTAACTGTGATAAGAAAATGATTTAAATGGTGTAGTACTGCACATATTTATATTGTGATTAATAATATTGAAATTTGTTTGTAAATTATAAATAAAAACATAAAGTCAAATGCTTTCTGCAATGTATATAAAAATAATCATATACATTATTTTGAATGGAGATAAATGATAACATCTATTTTGAAAACACCATTTTTATGGCTTTGTAAACCAAAAAAATACAACATAAAAAGAGAATATATACTTTAGTCTGCTTTATAATCATTATATATATATATATATATATATATATATATATAATGATAATTATATATAATTAATATTATATTATAATATATAATTATATATTAAAATATATGCTGATTTAAGCGCGCGTAAGTGCAATAATATAACAATAATCATTCGCAATAAATTTTCACGCAACGTTCCTCGAAATGTGAAATTACCGCTTTTCCCTCGCTCGTGGAGTGCATAAATTGATTGGTGACTGATATCATTAGCTTAAGTGAAGTACGGGATATGTACATCGTCGTCGGTGCATGCGCAGCCACGAAAGCACGTCGATACCGATATCACGCACACAATGTGCTGCCGTATGATAAATGCGGCTGTGTACAAACGGGGAAGGGTACGATGTGGAATAAGATATCGCTTTATAGACGATGCATCAGCCCATATGATCGCCTGACAACGGAAATTAAGTCGCTCGCGGCGTACATCAAACCCCGTGTAGTATATACGTATCGGGTTAGATAAATTCATACTCTATAATCTCAGCATTTCTTGAAGGAACACGCGCTGCGTAATAAAAATATAAATTACTCAGAGAGTTATATAATCCTAAAATATATATCTTCAAAAATGCACGCGTTAATAGCTTTCGCGTAATTTTAAACATTTTTACGCTCTGAAAAAATCATCGCTCAATCGCACTTTTCATTCCTCTGTCTTCCTCTTTTTTTTTTCGATAAATTTTATTTTTAAAATTTCAAATAGCCAGGAATTAAACACGATAGATATACGAACAGTATTTCGAGCGTATTAGTGCCGAATGATTAGACAAGGAATACATGTGTATCGATTAAAGTTGACCGGGGCCGGCGGTGCGTTCGTGCATGAACGTCATTCCCGAAAGAGTAAGAGACGTAACTTAGCTCCATCGAGCCGTGTAACCACGTTGCAAACCAAACGCACGTGCAAAGCATTATGGAGATTCGGCGGAAGCCCAATTTCCCCGTACAAATATCTCGGATAATCGCCGTAAAATTGATCGCGCGGACTCGTCGGGAAAGACTTCTCCGCGTTAACGAACGTCGAGCGTGAAAATATCGATCCTAATCTCTCTTTCTTTCTCTTTCTCTCTTTCTCTATCTTTCTCTCGCGGCCATCCAGCGCCGTCGGTGAAAATTTAATTAAATCACACACGTAATTTAACAATCCAGCTGTCGCTAATAAACTCGGCGCAACAGAAGTGCCCGGCCGAAAGTTATAATTACGCGAGATATGGCAAATTTAAATGAATATCGCGAGGGATGTATAGATAAACGGGGAGATTCCGGCGCGTAGATGCATTTCGTTACACGCCTTTCATTTACATTCTGCTCTTTCGGAGCGCCGCGCCGCGCTCTCGTCTCCCTTTTCAGTATATGTGCCGTATGTATTAAAATTTGACGTCGGTGGGGGATTAAAGCTTTATATATATATATATATATATAATAACACATCCCGCTAAATCAAATCAAATCCTCTCCCCATTATTTACATAGATTGAAACCGCAAACACACAAAAACAAATTTTACACAAAATATTTATTCCTTACCTCACGTGCGTTTCTGCAATCCAACGAAAAACGTTTGCTGATTTTGAGTTCACTATTTGTCTGCCAAAAAAACCTTTATATTATTGAACGAAATAGAATTTGTGCTCGGTTACTTTTTCAGGCGGGAACGGGAAATAGTGATCTTAGAAACGACTCTTGGGTTTCGATTGTGATGCCAGAACGAGGTACCGGTCCGCACGCACACAATCACAGAATCCTGCGCAGAGCGCTCTGCGCAGTACATGTACGGGGTTCTCTTTGTGTGCGTGCGGGCCGGGACCTCGTTCTCACATCACATGATCTCAATAGCATGCGGAAGCATATGTAGAGGGGATGCATGTACACAATACGTGCTTGTGTGCAGCATCCCCTCTACATGCTACCGCTTGCTACCGAGAACGTACCCATTCTGTTATCTGTAATTTTTAACGACAAGGCGCGACAAGTCGTTACCATTACAAGTCGTTACCGCTCGTAACCATTCATCGTGTATATTTTGTTTGTGCTTCTCTTGTTATTGTTAAAATTATATTAATGTTAATAATATATAATGGGGAGGTATTACAATTACCTTGAAAATAAATTTCAAAAAGTATCAAGAACGAGCCAATATAGGAGAAATCGTATAGAATGCGAATCAAATGATCAAAGCAGTGATGATAGTATCGAAGATGCTCAATGGCGGGTAAGTATTAGAAAGTTATATGGATAAAAATATGTATAAATTATGAATTTATGTTCAAATTTATTTATTTTACAAGTAATGTTTACATATATTAAAAATTTAATTAACCTTATAAATTAAAAAAATTATATATTAAAATTTATAAATGTATGAGTAAAGATATTTTGAAAAGATACATTAAATGCAATAGATTCTAAACTTATAAAATTTTGTAAAAATGGCTTATTCTTATAATGTGGAATACAAAAATGGGTTTATTTCATTTTGTATCATATTAATATTATTTTACTGCTTCATTTAGGAATACTGTAATCATCAATCATCTAGTGATAGCGACAACACAGATTCTGGTAACACGCGTCAACATAATAGTACTCACTCATCATCCTCCAATGAAGTGTTGCCAGCAGACATTAGAAACAATGAGCAATTTACTGACTCGTCATTGCATTTAATGCAAGACAGGCATATAGGTCTTATACAACATACTTGTTATGAGTCTTCAGTAATACATGAAAGTCCATTTATTAAGCAAAACGATTGTTACATCCTGGCGATTCCACGATTCCTTCCTTCCGCGAAGTGTCGGCAACGATCTCGACCTGATACCAAACGCCACGAGACGTTTGACTTCGGGATAAATAAAGATAGTTGTTGCGCCCTTCCGTCGACTCATCCTTCCCCGAGTCTGGACGTAACACGATGATCAACAATCATTGTCAACATTAGAGCAGGTTAGTATACAGGGTGTCCCATTTTAAAAGTTCCACCCTCATAACTTTTCAGGATCAACGTTTGAAGGAAAATGTTTGAAATAAAAGTTGTATGGTATCGAGGGGGAAATCTTGTGGAAGTGAACATTTTTTTTTAGGTGGAGGCGCTTAGGAGATTTGAAGGTCATCTTCATTTTTTTTAATGGAACCCCCCTTTTTTATTGCATATTCTTGTACCTTATCTAGAGAGCTTTCCAAAACACTATAAAAAGTATTTTTTCATTAAGTACTTTTTGAGTTATTTTATACTTTAATCTGACATATTTTGATATAAAAAATAAAATATCTCGTAAAATATTTAGTTTTCGATAATCTTACCGTAATACTTTTATGTACAGAATAATGAGACAAATCAATTAGTAAAAAAAAAAAAATTGTTTTTAAGAAAAAGTATGTAATTATTTACAATGTATTTTTTTAAACAATTATTTGTTTTTTCTTTACACTAATTGATTACACTTTATACTAAAAAATTATTATAAATTCTTATGTAAAACGCGCTTAGCATTCATTTGTTTACGGATAAATATATTTTTTAAGTAGTATGCAGAGGTAGGCATTATCAATTATACATAAAAAATGTTTAGGAAAGTTTTATTGAACACTCATGACAGTGTAAGTCCTGAGTAATTCATAACATTTATTACACTATTTTCATGAAATGTATTGATAATTAATCCCAATCTAAAAAGGGCATGTTATTGACATTGTTGTCGCT